ATATGCTGAACAAATGTCAACTCAACCACAGTATGGCCTTCTGAATGTACGCTTATGGTTTGCCAACTCAGGGTGACAGTTTCTCAAATGAGACTCAAAGTGGTATCGTTCACTTGGAAAAAGCTGGCTAAGTGCTCCAGATACAGGTTACTATGCTTTGTTCAGTGTCCCCGTCACCGATATCACCCTTTGACCCAATTTACAGCTCCCAATTTTTCTACTGATCAAAAATAGTTGTATAAACGCATATTCAGAAAATGAGGAAAAAAGCAACAGACACTTCTGTAGACTTAAGCAAAGAGGAAAAGCAGGCGATTGCCCGAAATGTGGTGAATAGCACTCACACTCCGTCCGTTGTCGGGAAATAGTCTTCGTGAATCCACAAAGCGAACCAGCCTTGACTGTGCACCGTGTTGTTNCACCCATTGGGGCAATTCGTGGACAAATAGTTGTGGTAGTCGACGGTCCACTGGGATTCTCCAACATACGATACCTGAGATGTGAATGTAAAGAGCATGAGTTATATACAATCGTTACCATACAGTGATATTCATACACAGTCATTGAATATTATTTCGACAGAGATGAGATCATGTTTAACCCCGCCGATCTGCAAAGTATAGTTTGATTATTTTAAGTACATAGTCCGAGGATATTTATCGCCACGAAGAGGGGAATTTACCGACGACGACGACGAGACCTCTTTTTGGTGAATTGAAGATAACTTCGGAGTTGTACATTTGGAATAGTCCAGTCGATTGTTTACAGGCACCAGGCGCTGTTGGTGATCTAGTTAAGTGATTATTCCAAATTTACCACTCTTAAATTCTTAAACCATTCGTAAAATTATTGAACGTTGATCATGTAGCTCAGGTGTAAGAGTGTGAAGTCCCGATCCGAATGCTCTCGGTTGGGGTCCTGGCAGGGAAAACAACTTGTGCACTGTTGATGAGTCCCAAATAAGACAAAACAGCTGTCCAGTGCTCTTTGTTGGTCATCCCAACTGTTTCCAACGCGAATTGAAGACTACTTACCTGAAAAGACTGGCTGGGATGTAGAAATGTTTCGAGCGAGATCTTGTGTGATTTGTCAGGTAGCTTTCTAGGTGGTGAATACTCTCTGATCACGCACAAAGTCGTACAGAACAAGAATAGATCCAATACTATCGGCTTGGATGAAAGACAATGGAAAACAATATCGCCTTGTTTCTCTTATTCTGCGTTGAAGTTATCATACTGCATTGCCAGTATGTGGAATAAATTTACAATGCTAGATTTAGATTAATTCATCCAGTTTCATGGGTACCAGTCATTTTTAAATGCCTACTTGTTTTGGATGTGAGACTCACTTCTAGTTTAGATAAGTGCCATCATGATACTGATGGATCAGTGAACGTTCTATCATAGCAAATTGATGAAGACAACACAACCATCATCTTGTATATTGTAATTTTACATTGTAATATACTACCGACACATGCAAACTAATGGAAACTGGTGAACGGTCGTGACACCTTGTCCCTTCTCATGGTACTTTAGGTGAAGCCAAGTCAAGTAAAACTTTATGCACCAAGTAGGATGAATCTCAGCATCACAAGATAGGGCAAAATTCAAAGGCCCCGCGTTTGGTACTCTACTCAAAGTATTAAAATGGAAGTGTTACCTAATAGTTAGTTGAGATCATCCTTAGCACATCATAAAATTATCAAATTCGAATCGTCTATATAGGAGTGATCGTTACTGACTCACCAGAAACCAAAGTTTGTTCCACCCGCGGCAACGTTATGACGTACAATATTGTTCGGGTGAGTGATCCAGTACGCGGCGGGCACCACATCATCGTTCAACAGGCTGCTTGTTTTCTTCACATGTACGAACAGATTGTACTGGATGGTATTATTTTGTTCCAGACCGTCCTCGAGGAACAAGGCACCTCCCATCACATCGTAGACCACATTGTTCTCAATCAGTACCTCATGTGTATTGTGAATATTCACAGCTCGGTTGAACGTGTTGTGGATGGCACAACCTTTCACGTAAGTTCTGAAAATGTTTGATAAGACAGATAAATAGGTTATGAAAATAGTATTTTTGGAACAGGGTGATAAATGTGATTCTCACCGGATCCCGATGAAGTGAAAAACGTTCCTTGCATTGATTTGTTTGTTAAGACGGAATAGCAGACTTTGAAACCTTGACCCAAAGACGTCTCGTTTTATTTCCACGTTTCTCGATGCCTTTCTCCTTAACCATCGTGTTTATCACCTTCACCTTGAGAACTATCACCTTTTGACTTGTTTTAGCTCATGCCGCAGAAAGCTTGCTGCATGCTTAAGCGTTTCTCTTGATCCGCGTAACCTTGACCGAGGTCACGTAATCAACCCCTTGGTCATTCTGGTACTTTCGCTTGCACAAAACTTGAATGAAATGGTAACATTTTTCACCTTTCTCTCATATGTCTTCTGTGTAAAACAGTAGCAGCAGCAGAGTATTGATTGCTTGTAAGCTACCTTTGTTGATGGAACGCCTTCAAGAAGCACTCTGTTTGAGTGATTTGCGGAATACAAGCAAGACGGGCGGTCTCCAAACAATGAGACACGGTATTGTCGACCTGTGGGGGCCAACAAAACGGACAATATTGCTGCTGTGTAAGGCATAGTGGAGGAGGATGCGTGGGTAATAGTTGCAGAACAGACGAAAGCCATCGGGATCTCATTGCAATCACTCCGCACCATCCTGCATCAGAATCTCGGCTGCAAAATGGTTTGCACAAGCTCTGTACCCCATCAGGTCAGTGAGGAAGTGAGAGCAGTTCGGGTGAATTGGTGCTGCACCTTGCTTACCAGGTTTAATGGTGGACGTTTCAATGCAGTTTGCGAGACCATTAGTGGTGATGAGACCTGGGTGTACAGTTTCGATCCCGAAACCAAGCAACAATGGTCTGAGTGGACGCCAGTTGGTGGGGCGCTGCTTCAGAAATTCCGACG